GATGCAAAGCTTAGTGCTAAAACAAAAACTTACTTGTGATGTTAACACATCTTTTAAAACCTCAAGTCAATTTGAAAATTAAGAAATATTTATTTCAGATTCAATTTTTATCATTTTATCTATGAAGATACAATTTCTTATTTTCAGTAATTCCCACATATTAAAACTATATTCATTAGGTTTGTATACAAAAACAAGAATCCAGTGTAAGGTTTTCATTTTAGATATGTATATCAGTAGTCTAAGAAACCATCCAAAACATTAGGAACAGAGAGAAAAATAGGGGAAAAGATCCTAGCAGCATAAAGGCACAAAGAAACAAATGAGAAAAACAGCAGAAATATACATATTAATATGCTAAACAGTTCTTTGGTATGCTCTGTGAGTGGTGGCTAACTGTACTTAATCTGCAGAAAAGACTGCCAAAGCCTACAGTATTTTCATTAGTCCTGGATCACTTGAGCTCTGTGTAGCTTATTTATTTATTTTTTCATTATTAAAAACAAATTGTTTAATCAGTTTGTTGATTAAGGGCCTTCCTTATGCATAACACTATCTGGGGTCTTCAAATGTTGATTGCCTCTTATGTGGGAAGTGACTGACATATTAATTCTTCCAGTTTTACTGAAATTCAACTTAAAACTAGAACTGAATACCAAAGACTGAAACTTTTAAAAGTTCAGAATAATAATTTTACTTGTTTTAAATAGTTAACTGCTTTTACACAAAACTAGTGATTTATCCCTCTCCGGAGGTGGAAGGAGTCCCCAGAAATGGAGTCCTAACCTAATTGTGATAAAAATTAAAGTGGGTCAGCATTTTATCATTTACAAATCTAGGTCAGACCAGCATTTTCTAACTAGTTTCTACTTGTAAATTTATAGGTACCACTGTTTGGTCTTAAAATGGAAAACATGGAAATGCAGGAATATATGAAGCCTGTATATAAATATGCAAACACAAGTGACCACAGGTGATTACTAATATTTCCATGAACACACAGAAATATTAACATTTTCTTTTGGTGTTGTTAGCACCTAAGTTCAACTTTTGTTGCTTACTTTAAGGCACCACTGAAACTGTACCAAATATACAAATGATCTTGGTTTCATTTGAAACCAAGAAACCAGGATTGCTGAATGTTTTGATGTTAAATACCAGTCTCTCAACATCAGTGGCTATTAACATTTGGATTATTTAGGAAAGTATCCAAATATTTGTTCTTGGATGAAATGGTCACTTGTACATAGCAGTTGAATTTCACTTGTAAAATGAGCTGGAGTAAATAGACATTTGATCTTACTGGTCTTGTTTCAAATTGTAGAGACAGACCTTTCCTACTTCCGCTTTCCACTTAAAATTAAGAACTTTCATGGCTATGAGGAAAGCTACAGTCCAGAGCAAAAGCACCTTAATTCTGTTCTTCCTTGGCAACAGAGATGGTCATTTGCACTTATTTTCATCTCACTGTCATGGTATCTATAATGCATTTACTGTGTTTATGTTGCTTAGTTTTAGACCAATTTTATGGACACCACAGATCTAAACACAAAGCAACAAGAGGATCAAAGGTGTTAATAGGAGAAACCATACATAAAACTAAGGTAAGTAGTAAACTTAAAAAAGTAAAGCAATTAGTACTTCACATGTTCTTGATAAATAATTTGATAAGACAAAAGTATTCCAAAGGACAGAGTACAAATCCTGTTATGAAGAAAAATGTTGTGACCACGACATCGGAAATACAGCTTGAAGCCTGGCTGTTCGTAAGAATCACTTGGCACTTTTAAAGATTATCAATGCCGAGCAATTTGGACTGAAATGGTTGGGCATCTAATTTCTCAAAGCATTTTCCACTACACACTATTTCTCTTTATCCATCTCAGACAACACATTTGCTTATTTAATAACCTCCTTCAGTGGACTGTGAACTCTCTTAAAGACACTATGCATATTTTACAGGGCTTTGTATCCCCAGACCTGCAACCATTTGAGGAATAACTAACTGCCATTGTGATGTAGATATCAAAAGACCTGGTTCTTTACTTCAGAAACTCCAGCTAGAGGGGGAAGAAATACAGGTCACAAGGTATGCCTTTTTCTGCTATGCTGGAGGGATACTGGAGATATAAACAAAGGGCTATGGATGCCCAAATGGAGAATGAGAGAAGAAAACAGAAGGAGCAGGGAAGGTTTCTTAGGAAAAGATGAAACTTGATATAGATCTTGAAGGATTTAAGAGTTAGGCAGAACAAGGCATTCTGAAGTTCTTAAAAGTATTCATTCATAAGTGATATAATTATCAGACTGTTTATGCTTTTGTTGTAAATAATTACTCCTGATAAACCTTTTATGGCCTTGAAATGCATTTTAAAAATGGATTCATTAAAATACAGTAATTCACATTTATGTCACGATCACAGGGATACCTCACAAATATACAAGTTTAGGTGCAAACTCAAAAAGTAACTTCATTGTTTAGCTCTTCCAACTGCAAGGTACTTTCTTTCTTGAAAATGCTGACATTCTAAGCTCACAGGAACAGAGCAGGAACGAAAACCTAACCAGCAGGCAGTTGTTTCTATTATCCATCCACGTATGACTGGCATACTTGAGAGCAACAAATCACTACGACATACTTTATCTTCCATTATGTTGTTTTCATTACCAACAGCATGAAGATTTCACGGACATTAAAATAAATTTGAGGTCTGGCTCTCCTACCCACTAGGTGTGCAACCCCAGGCACGTCAGTCTCCTTGTGCTTGACTTCCTTCGTCTGTAAACATCTCCTCAGATATTACAGGCTTGAAATAAGACAGTACGTATAAATTGATTTTTTTGAGCAAAGCCTGCCACGCAGAAGTACTAACAGATGCGAGCTATTCTTGTTATTTTTTTTTTTTTTTTAATAAATGTCTTATTTATTTCTAGGAGAGAGAGAGAGACAGTGTGAGCAGGGGAGGGTCAGTGAGAGAGGGAGTCACAGACCAAAACAGGCTCCAGGCTCTGAGCTGGCAGTCAGCACAGAGCCTGACGCGGGGCCGAACCCACGAACCGCGAGATCATGACCTAAGCGAAAGTCGGACGCTTAACCGACTAAGCCACCCAGGCGCCCCATATTCTTACCTCTGAAAAAACAAGTATGGCTAGACAGTTTAAATACTGTTGATCTTAAACACACTGTCATGCTCTTAGCTAGTTCCTAAGACACTGAGATGATAAAATACTAGATCTTTGACTTGTATGAAGAGTAAAATAATTCAACCTTAACATCTATGAAGCTATGCAAGAATTGAGAGTAACAGTCTCTAGAGCCACCTGGCTCATTCAGTAAGAACATGTGACTCTTGCTCTCAGTGTCCTTAGTTCAAGCCCTGCATTGGGGGGTAGAGATTACCTAAAAGAGTGATAATCTTCACTGTTTTTAAATTGAAAAAGGAAGATTTTCTAAGTAACAGTTCACTAATGACACTCTTTAAAAACCAGTGTAGAACAGCCTGGGTGGCTCAGTCGGTTAAGACTCTGACTTGATTTTGGCTCAGGTGATCTCAGGGTTCATGAGTTCATGCTGGAGTCTGGCTCTAAGCTAACGGCACAGAGCTTGCATGGGATTCTCTCTCTCTCTCTGTCTCTCATGCTCTCTAAATAAATAAATAAGCTTAAAAAAAAAAAAGAGCAAGTGTATTTATTCGAAAGCACCACAGGAGGAAAGAAGCTGGAATAAATTCTCGCCTCTGGAACCAATAACCTGTCAGTAAACTGCTGTTTACTCTGAGCTCTGTAAGTAGCTTAGGGAAGACACTGTGATTTATGCCCCATCTACAAAGTAGTTGGAGTAAAGCAAGAAACAATTAATGAATTTTCGATTAAATGTTTAAGGGTTTAGTACTGAATGGGTTTCTGCAGGAACTTCTGGAACCTAAGTTCAGCAAATTTCACCCCGCAATAAACTTTTTTGAGTCATGGTTTCTGTACTATAATCAAAGGCATGCATCCTTTCCCCAGAAATATGCTCATAAATGCAACATTTGGCCTGTGGATTTAATTAAGTGCACCATGAGGGTCTGGTGTAGAAGCGGCTGGCAGCAGCAGGCCCAAACTATCAAAGGAATCTGCAGTCACACAAAATAATATATACAACCTTAAAAAAGTGTGGGGAAGGAGAGTCCCTGGCCAGACACCACCTCGAGTACATTCCTATAAGAAAAACTGCTTCTGCAGAGATCGCCACTCATTACAATCTACACTTAATAAAGTAATATCGTTTAGAGTGAGAGAATGGAGTAGGAGAGTCCTGAAAGGTCACTAACTCAACAGACAAAAATTAAGGTGTGCGAGGCCCGCAGGGGCATTAGAGGACGCGAAACGACAAGCGCGGAAGTCGAGAAGCTCCAGGTCTCCAAGAATAAATGACCACCAAGTCCATTTAAATGACTGGGTTAAGCCAGACCAGCGAAATCCTTTAAACAAGTCAGAAACGTGAACTCTGCGGGAGGGGCTGGGACCTTCGACCCCCGGGGTCTTTCTTGGGCGGTCGGCCCCGGTTCTCCTTGCTGGGCTTGCAGCGGCCACATGGTTCCCGGGCCTTTGCATCTTCCAATCCCCGGCAGAATCAAGCTAGAGATAGAACACCCTGGCCCTCGCACCCAGAGGGGCCGTCCAACCCTCCGGCCCTAGCTCGCGCCCGCGGCCCCTTCACAAAGTTCAGCTGCGACCCCACAGCCCCAATTCTTACCATAGTGAGGCCGGCGAAGCCCCAGCCACATCACCCTTCCGGGCGCAGGGCGGAAGAGGCGTGCACACCCTTCCTGCCCTTCTCGTTCCCTCCCTGCGTTCGGTTGGGCCTGTCAGGGCACCTCCTCCTGAGCCGCGCGACTTCGACACTAGGATAGGTTCCCCGCAACCGGAAGAGGCAGGAGCTAAAACACGTCATGCGCCTCTGCGGAAGTGGACGACATTCTCATTGGCTGCGGGACGTCTGACTGTAGGAGCGGGCCTTTTGGAGGAGACCGGAAGTGGAGCAGCTAAGAGGTAGTGTCCGGAAGTGGGGGCTGCGTTACTTCAGTGATAGTAATCTCTAGTCCAATCGTTTATTTTTGTTTTTTTTCTTTATTTTTAGTTTCCTGTTATTTCCCTCTAGAACTCAGTGTTTGAAGTTTTCTCAGCTCAGATCCCTCTCACTGCGTATGCCCCTGGGACTTTGGTTTACGGGGTCTTGGGGGACGTCTGGGTTCCCTAAACTTCTCTGCAGGGCGTGCATCTGCCTCGCGTCTTTTTCAGTTTCTTTCTCTGCACATCAGGGATTCTTTAGATTTAAGGACGCTTTTGAAAAGTCCTGTAATGGTTGTGGGCTTAGGAAGGCATTCGAATCCGGAGGGTTGTGTTAAGAACGCTGTTGGACGCTTCTTACGCCGGCCTCTCTCTCCGAATCCCTAGCTCTTTGTAAACTGCCTCTGGATTTCATCTGGGGCTGAAGCGTAATCGTCCCTTTGGGGTTGGGAAAGAACTTTCTGTAGTAACAAATGGAAAGGAACTGCCCTTTCCTGAGGTCAGTAGTTCTGAGGCATTCTCTTTTAATCAGTATATTATTTAGCTTCTTCTATTTTTTTTTTTAATTATGCTTATTTTTTGAGAGAGAGCAGGGAAGGGAGGGAGGGAGAGTGTGTGTGTCAGAGTCCAGAGCAGGCTATGGGCTCTGAGCTGTCAGCACAGAGCCCGAAGCCTGGCCCAAATTCAGAGAAATCTTTCATGACTTGAGCCGAAGTTGGACGCGTAACGGAGTGAGACACCCAGGCGCCCCTGACTTCTAATTTTGATAACCCATTAGATGAGACTTTATTTTCCCGCCGTTTTTGTCTGCATAGTCTAGGTGAAGAAACCGGTGTTTTGAAGTGTTCAGTTTGCATAGTTCTTGGAAACTCATGAAAGGTTTTTGAATTAAATTGGTATTGTGTTTTTTTTTCTTTTTTTTTTTTACCACTGGAATGCCCCCCCCCTTTATTTTATATCTAGTATTGATGTTAATGGTTTCCTTTTGTATGATTTCCTTTTAAAATACAGTGATAGTCGCATATGTTAAAGGACCGTGGTTTTACTTAACTGCTTGTTTTCTCTAATCCTCAACTAGCCTCCCTAATTTGAGATTAAGGTTCTTTGCGTTCTCGTGTTTATTTTTGCCGTTTTTGTTCCCTGTCTTTTTTTATATTCTTTCCCCATGGTCCTTAGTTTAAGACCTATGTTTGACTTGCACGTTATTTGTTTTACTTTAAGAGATGCTTATCTTAACCTTGCTCCACTGGTGACCATACTTTTTGTCTTAACAAAAATCCTGTAAAGACTTCTTTATGTTCTAACTCCCAGTTCCTCTTTTTAAAAGCATAGTTTTTACTCCTATCCTTCCCCCAAATGCTTTTGTTATTGTCACTAGTGATCCTCAGGTGTTGATCATTCCCAGTCTTTATTGTATTTGACCTATCAGCAACCTTTAACACAGTTAATCACTTCCTTCTCCATGGTATTTTTTTTTCACTTGGTTTCTAGGACATCCCACTCTTGGTTTTCCTTCTACCTTTTTGGTTGTTTCTGTCTTCCTTCTATCCTTCCTGATCCCTTATTGCTGAAGTGTTCTAGGGCTCAGTCTTTGATTCTGTTCTTTTCCTCTTCCTACATTTTTTAAAATGATATCATCAAATCTTAATGACTTCAGATACCATCTGTATACTGAAGACTCTCAAATTCATATTCGTAGTCTCCCCTTTTTCTGAACTACAGACTCACATGTCCTGATGTCTTCCTCCGCGTTTCTACTTGTTTAAAGGTATTGCAAACTTACATGTTACAAACTGAACTTCTTTTCCCCCAAAACCTGTTTCATTCTTTCTCACCTCAGGTGATGACAACTCTGTTCAGCCAGTTGCTCAAACTTAGGTATTTGGAGTCATTCTTGACCTTGCCTCATCTTATATTCCATCAAATCCACCAGAGCATCTTTTGTTGACTCTCCATTAAATGTATCTGAAATTTAACTGTTTCCTACTATTTCTCCTGTTAACAAGTTGATCATCTCTTCCTTGGATGTCTCTTAGTACTCCTTATGATTTCTTGCTAGGACTAACTAGTCATATTTTTAGCTGGTCTCTCCACTTTCTTCAATCCTTGCTTCTCTGCAAATGTATTCGCACACAGTAGCCAGAATGATACTTTTTAAATATAGGTGAGAAATTATACTAGACTGTAAGATTCTAAATGCAATGTGTTATCTTAGATTGGATCCTGGAACAGGTTAAATACATTAGAGAAAAAAATAGTAAAATCCAAATAATATGGAGTTGAGTTAGTAGTGATGTGTTAATGTTGGTTTCTTTGTCTTTTTTTTTAATGTTTTTATTTATTTCTGAGAGAGAGACAGCGTGAGCAGGGGAGGGTCAGAGAGAGAGGGAGATACAGAATCCGAAACAGGCTCCACGCACTGAACTGTCAGCCCAGAGCCCAATGTGGGGCTCGAACCCATGAACTGTGAGAGAGGTCATGACCTGAACCGAAGTCCGATGCCCAACTGACTAAGCCACCCAGGCACCCCGGTTTCTTTGTCTTAATAAATGCACCGTAGTAATGTAAGATGTTAATATTAGAGGAAACTGGGGGAGGTGGATATGGGAACTTTGTGTTATCTTTGCAACTTTTCTGTAAATTCAGTATAACTCCAAAAGAAAAAGCTTATTAGAAGGAATGTAACATTACTTCTTTGCTTAAAAACATTTTAGTACTTCTCATTTGATTTGCAGTAAAAGCTAATATCCTCACATTGGCCTACAAACTTTAAATGATTTGGTTTCCCATTACCTCTCTGACTTCAGCCCTTGGTATTCTCTCCCCCCTTACTCTGTCTCACCCATATTGGCTACCTTGTTCCTTCAGTATACCAAACCTGCTTCTACCTTAAGGCCTTTCCACTGGCTGCTTCATTTGCTTGGAATGCTTTTTCCCAGACAGAAACATAAACACAACTAAATCTTTTATCTCCTTTATGTAAGTGTTCAAATACCAACTTTTCAAGAAAGCCTACCCCAACCTCCTTTAAAAAATTGCAGCTTTGCCTCTCTAAAATTAAAAAAAGAAAAAAGAAAGAAAAATGAAAAAAAAAAAAGGGGGGGAGGGGGGGCTCCTGGGTAGCTCTGTTGGTTGATCGTCTTACTCTTGATTTCTGTCCGGGTCATAGTCCCAGTGTCAATGGGATTGAATTCCATGTTGGTCTCTGTGCTGAGCGTACAGTCTGCCCCAGATTCTCTCTGTCTCCCTCTGCCCCTCTCCCCCACACTAGAGAGCTCATGTGCTGTCTCTCTAAAATTAAAAAAAAATAATAATGAAAATAAAACGTTTCAAATGGCAGCTTTGCAACTATCTCCCTTCCCCCAACTGGCCTGTATACTCCCAGTTTTCTCTATCTTGTTTTATCTTCTTTTTTTGCTATAGCACTTACCACCATTCTATATATTTTACATGTTTTTTTAATGTTTTTAATTGTCTCCTATTAAAACATAAGTTTTAAAAAGGCAAGAATTGTTATCTATTTTGCTCATTTATACCAAGTTCTAAAGCACTGTCTGATACATAGAAATGTACATGTTTTGGTTAAATGAATGAACTTGACTGGTTATTTGAATTTAGTCATCCTTGATTTTCAGTCATGAAACGCTGAATTGTTGATCATTTTCCTATATCGTGTTGTTTCTTGCCTCCAAGCCTTTGCTCATGCATATTCTTGTGCTTGGAATGCCTTTTCTTACCTTTTTCACCTTTTAAGATTCGTATCAGGTGTAATTCAAGGAAGCCTTCCTTGAAATATCAGGCTGGCTTACATGTACTCTTGAGAGGAGGTACCACCCTTTCTCTAGACTTTAGAGACTTGTAAAATAATTCTTTTTTGGTATTGCTATTTCACTAGACAGCTGGGAATGTGTCTTAATCATTTTTGGAATATCAAAGCTTGGTACACAGGAAGCAGTTACTGAATGTTTTAGTATAATAATGACATGACCAAAGCCACTAAGCTTTGGAGCAGTAGAGTTTTGATTTCAGGCTGAAACTTCTGAGTATAAAATTGATGCTGTATTTGCTATACCGTGTTTTCTGGGAAAAAGTGGCTGTCCTTAAAATAATAGAAAGATTGTTCTTTTTATACAGGTGGGAGGTAATTAATCCATTTTATAGTCCTGGGCAATTTGCTTCTTGTCATTTGTGAAGCTGCCAGCACTGATGAGAACATGAGTTTGCTTTTTTTCCTAAACACTGGCTGAAATAGAGGAACAGAGGGTTATTATAGGCAGCAATTTTTAATTTTGATGAAACTGTGCTCTTTTTGCGATAACACTGTAGAGATTTTTGTTGCCTCAAAGGGGAATGCTAGAATTCCAAACTGCTCATGAGGCATTCATGGTTTTGCTAGATGCCTGCACTGCCAATAGCTTGAAATTAAAATTTTTGCTTGTGTGCTGTTGGGAAATCCCAGGCTATTTTCAAGATATTGCAGAGATTTTCTTCCAATGATATAGAAATTTGCTGTTAAGGTTGAGTTAAAAATGATTAGTTTACTAACATGATTTCTGATGCTTGGCCCCCAAATTAGGTTAATTTTTGCATTTAAAACACTGTATAATCTTAGATGATGAGCCAGACTTTCAACTACATTTTATGGTAAGCATTCTGAATTTAAACTGTCCTCTGAATATTATTATCATTGTGATAGTCTGTAAGCCAGTCTTTTTGTAGTGTTGGCTAACCTTTAGGACTAATGGGAAAGGAAATAATTTAACTCTGTAAATTCTGAAAGGACTTTAGCAGCTTTTAGTCGCATTAGTGTGTGTGAAAATAATGATTAGGCTTGGGGTTATGTAATCAAAACCAAATATTACTTGGAAGACATTCCTGAACTTGTGCCTTGTTTGATTTAATAACCCTCTAAAAGTGTCCAACATGTTGAAATAAGCAAGGGATTCAGTCTGCTCTTTATATTAGAGCATACTCTGAGTTTA